ACGCGGGCATGTTTATTTATTTTTTTTCTAGAATAGTATAGCCGGTCGGCTATACTCAGGTATTTCTTTTATTTATTTATTTTTTAAAAAAAGTATAGACGTGGTGTTACCAGGTTTTCTTTTTAATAAACAATATAGCCAATTCTTTATATATATACTAGGATCCTTTTTTTATTATTTTTTATTTTTTTCCTGATTTTCTTTTATCGATAAGAGTAGTTTAGATCATTATTCATCACTATTAGGCCATTACCGGAGTTTCTATTGTCCCCTTTTGATTTTTTTACTTTCCTAGAGTTATTATGCGTATAAAGAATTTAGCATTTTTTATGTTTAATACTCATATTATACATGTACATATGTATTTTTCAATAGTACATCCGTTTTCTGTACATGTCTTAAAGACTCAGTAAAATACATGTTTTTTAAAAAGCAAATGTACAATACTCATATTGTAAACATACATACGTATTATTCATGTTTAATACACGTGTATGATTAACAATGATTTGTTATTAATCATATACGATTAAACATAGACCGTTGAGATATTCAAGTAAGAAAAGACTAACTAAATCACAGTCGGGTTCAGGGTTGCATATGCAAGCAACTCCTTACTACTTTCAATCATGGCCATGTCGTCTTTCTTCAAAGTCAATGACGCTTCTATGCCCATGCCGTCACTCATATCCATCAATGTGACCATGTTCTTGATTTCGATGCTACGGATGCTCACCCATGACGGCTTTCCCCAACCAAAATTGGTTTCGTAGAAGGGAAACCGGCACCAACTGGTACACATATAGGTTTCGACATCATCCCTTGCCAGGTTACCAGACTCTTCGATGGTTTGCAATACAACATCACCACTAACTCCGTTGGGATACTTTTCTCTATATTCCTCAAGGCTTTTTCTGAGTTTAGCAACCAAACTTTCGAAGTCAAATTCACTCTCTAAGGCCATTGCCGTGAAGCACCACACAAAATTCCCCAATATATTTTCTGCAAAGGCCTGCCCTGATGATCTTTTCCTCATGTCCACTGCTTGACAACACACTGATGGCTTTTTAAAACCCAAATTCGATCTTGAAGCTTCCATTGCACATTTCCAAATGAGCGCCAACACTGCTTCAACTCGTGTAGGATTTGGCACTGTGGCACTGGCCGCTTTGGCCTTGAGAGCAGCAATATTTGAGGCATCAAACACAAACCTCCGTGTTATACATTTCTCTTTAGGAAAATGCACGGTGGGTTGGGGTGAGTTGAAGAAATCTTGGGGTGGGAATAGAGAAGCTGTAACACCAAATTCTGCAGGAAGCACGACATGATCGGTAGTGCTGGTTGAGCCAAGGGCAATTTGAGCCCAGCTTTTGATGAATGTGCTGAATGTTGAGGCATCAGCGACCTTATGTGAAATGCTGACCCCAATTGCCAATCCACCACATTCAAAGAAATTGGCCTGAACTAGTAGAAGATAGCTTACTTCTGCTTGTTTGGCTCCTATAGCAGTTGGAAGCAATTGATTTAGGTTCGAAAATTCAGGTTTGTCCAAAATCTTTGATATGGGACAGTTCACTTGCGCTTCAAGAAAGGCAGCTCCATGATCATTGCAGCTGATGGAAACATTATATTCGAATTTTCCTGCAAAGGGGTAGAATCGAGTGAGGGCTTCAGATAATGATTTCTTTAGAAGCTTGGATTTTTCAGCAAACAAAGAATGATGATCAAAATTATCAAACTCATCACTACTGCTGAGATAGAAGAGAATTAGTGGGATATGAATATCAGGTTGAAACTGATCAAAACCAGAGAGGCCCAAACTTCTAAGGTGGTGAGGAGTTGGAGATGATGGCTTAACTGTGTGCTTGTGAATTACTTCAACCTTGATCTCTGAAGCCATCTCTTGTTACGGGCTTGAGTTTCATAAGAACTTAAGACCCTCCATATAAAGAGGCAGAGTCAGCAGAACACCCCAACGGCAGCTCATCTGCAAAAAGTAAGCTTCATCGTTTTGTATCTGTCTCATTTGAACATAGGATCAATCTGTAAGTTATTTTTGGATTATCTAAAGGCAGATTAAGTGTTTTGGCCTTCAAGGGCCGGCCTTGACATATGCATGAAGACAACAGATAAAGATAAACTATCATTTTCCCATTTCTATTTTTATTTTCTAAATTCTTCTAGCAAGAAAAACAAGCTATCAATTGTTGAGAAAATTTAGAGTACACGACTCTAATGTAGACTTGTTGGAGACAAAACAAGTAAACAATTTACTTGTATTAGACTCACAAAATATTACAACAAACAACTCTCAAAGGAAAGACCAACTCTTACAAACACTCTTAACAATCTTTCTCACTTCACTCACACTTCTCACAAGGACTATTTAACTCTATATAGCTTTTTTCTCACTCTACTTATTCACTCTCTTCACTTCTTGATTCTACAATGCATGGCTTCATACCTACTTATAGTTGTTCTAGCCGACATAGCTCACTGCCTTGGCTATATAATATTAGCTACATAATTGTTTTACCTTCTAGACTATTCTCCAAGCTTCAATCTGCCAACTTGCTTAGCCACTCCACCGACTTGGGCTTTTATACTTCAGCTATTGTTTTCTCCTAGATTGATCTACATGTATATATATATATATATATTCTAGATATTTCTAGTGGTATTATCACCTTCTTGTTTACACTTCTGGTGCTTCTAGAACATTATAGAGATTGCCTCTCAAAATGGGCTGAGCTGGGGTTGATACTTTAACATCAATTATTTTAATCAACACAAATCATCAAATAAAGTCCAAAGTGGGCCTAGAATGAAAACAAATGAAACAATGCCACATGAGTTGGTGTCCAAAAGTTTGTGTAATCATCATAATTCATCTACTTCTCTATATCCAATGAATCGATACTATATACTAGCTAGAGAAGCACTTATGCATCCACACTTTGTCTATACATTGCAAACATTATATATAAACTCAAGCAGAATCTTGTAATAATGGGAGACCATGAATTTGGACCCATGATTTTTTTCAACAAAATTGAGACTACCGGCGACACTATGAAGGAGGCAGATTCAAACTGTGTATGCTCGGATCAAAAGGTGGACTTATCCCA